CAGCCAAAAGGAAGAAATTGCCTGATTTTTGGCTATTTCCTCTGAGCAGAAAATCTGTCTCTAACTCTTCAGTATCTAATGTTGGCAAACCTTAGCAAGATACAAGAGAGTTTATCCCTGTTTCTCTGGAAAGCAACTTGGGGATGTATTATGACTTAGCACCAGAAGTGGTATTCTGCCAGTTCTTTCTGGTTCAGGCGAACTGGTAGCAGCGGCTACGGGAAGCTCAACCCACCCGCCCCGACGGAATGCATGACCTTCTGTGCATGCACTCACATTTGCGCACACTCACATTCACAAACCGGTAGGGAAGGTAAGTGAATCCCACCACTGCTTAGCTCCCATAATTTCCAATCAATATTCCAATGGGAATTATAAGAGTTGATGAAAATCCAAAATTCTAGGGAGTATCAGTTTAGAAAAAGACTGATTGAAACAAAAGACATATTTTTTAAAGCAAGATAGGACTATTCATGTGCAAACTATTGTGTGATTTCTTAGCTTGGATACTGCAGTGTTGCCCAAAAGTCCTTTGTGTAATTTATTTAGTTCAAATGACTTATATTTATATCTCTTCCTTAGGGTTGCTATGGTTTCCGTTACGTTCATCCCCAGCTAATTTTCCTTTATCTCCATCACTACAATCTTAGTGTGATTTCTTTTTAGTTATAATTTGTGTCATTCCAGACCAATATGGACTAAAAATTCCCATTAAGTCAAAGATAGCAGAAAAAGCATTAGAACGATAAAGCAGTAAAACCATTAAAACAGTAATTTCAGGCAGCCATAATGAGAGAGGGCAACATTCTTGCCCAATTTTTTTGACCAAACATAGTAAAGTTAAAAGGATTGATTTCTTCTAATTAAAACAATGTCACTAAAGATTTATGTATCATTATAAACTGCAGCAAAGTAATACACTGCAACTGCATCTCCTTTGTTAGGTAGTTAAGAAGCTTAAGTTAATTCCTAAACTTTGTAAAATACCATTGAAAATGTATTTGAAAATATCTACGTTAGGAGAAAGTTTTAAAAAATGTATTAGCTTAAAGAAAAATCTAGAGCAGGGGTTCCCAACTGGGGGTGCGAGACGATATTCCAGGCAGTTCAAAAACTTGGGTTTAGAAGTTTCAAAATTATAGTATATATGAAAATTTATATGCATATAATTTTGTATTTTTCAGTGGTGCGAGAATATATCCGAAGCATTCTATGGGTGTGGGACAGTGGTGGGTTCCTACTGGTTCAGACTGGTTTTGCTGAACCAGTAGTGATTTGGCAGCCTGGGTCGCTGGAATTGGCAGCAACCCAGGCCTGCCACACCCTCAAACCAGTTCTCCGGGCAGCACCGTATGCAGCACCATCTTGTTTTTTGCTTCTGCACATGTGCAATTTTGTTGCACTGCGCATGTGTGCCCAGCGCACAACAAGCGCATGTGCATCATGCCCAGGAGCAAACCAGCAGTAGTGACTGCTGGAACTCATCTATGGTGCAGGGTATAGAAAAGGTTGGGAACCCCTGATCTAAAGTCTTTAAAAGGATGTGTACAAGAAGAAAAAAATATTCTGAGGATAACTTGGAGGGGGTGATCCAAATTTAATGAGTTAATTGGATTTTAGTTGGAATTTTATTGGTCTGTAAGTGAACTTTAATGTATGTATGCTAAGAGGAGGTTTTTAAAAAGATGTATTAGAATGTTTTAATTTTAGAAATGTTTTTAAAGAAAAGCTTAGCATTTTAAAATTGATCAAAATATTTTTCCCTCTAAGGTTAAAGAATCTGAAGAATATAGTGAAATTTGTTAATATAAATGGTGAAAGTTTATAAAGATTAAGTACAAATAGAAATATGTATTAGTTCAAGCTAGGAAGATAAAGCAGTAATGGTTAAATTGATTGTTCTAAAAAGAGCCGGAGGTCAACATCTTTTTTTTTTTCTTCCCTTGTGCCTCATATTTTCTTTCCCTCTTTCTCCCCCCACCATGATTTCCTATTTTTCTTTTTCTTTGTATTTTATACATTGATAAAACAATAAAAGTTATATATTAAAAAAGAGAGAAGCTAAGGGGAGGATCTGCTTCTTTTTAAAGATATTTTTCAAATAAAATAATCAAAACTACCGACAGTTGTTAAAGAAAATAACGCAGACACATATTGTTTTTCTGCTGTAATCTAAATTGCAGTCCTTAACAGTTGCTATGAAGTTTAGGAAAGTAATTTTAATTTTAAAAATCACACATTTAATTATTGGTTTCCTGCCCAATATCTACTTCAGCCCAAACTTACTTTTAACACACATACTGTGCTATTATCAACAGCTATAAGAACATTAATTCTTGGCTCACCAATTTACTCATTAATAATTTTAGGCATATTGTTTCTCAGCTGAACTTCGTTATCTCTATAAAATGGAATTAATTGTAAACCAAGAAGAAAGGAGAGAACAGAAGTGAACAAATCTAAACACACTGAATAAATGTTTAGTAATTCTAAATGATACCATATGTTTTATGAAAATCTTGAAAGTGTAATCCCATGCAAATAAAGAAATATTGTTCTTGGCAGTTAATAATATTAAATATTGTTCTATAGTGTTTCACAATTTAAAAAACACTACAGATAGTACTAATATTTAAATTATTCTTTCCATTTCACACTGATACATTTTGAAATTGTTCTCAAAACTGTGCTGAAAAGGCAAATAAAAAAATAAAAATTAAATAAAACAATAGAAAGCAAAGATCGGTATTGGTACTAATACCGATATTACTATTACTAATTACTATTACTAATACTGCTATTGGTACTAATAGGTGACTTGGGTGCAATCCCAAAACTCAAGCACCACTTAAACACCATCGGAATTGACAAAAGCACTAACCATCAATTGCAAAAGACAGCTTTACTTGGAAATCTTATATGCTGGGTCATCTTGAACACTAGATCAAACATCAACATTTTCCTATCCCAGATCCTTAGGAAAGACTTCATGGATTAAAAAATGCCAAATCCAGTCTTAATATCTGGCTGATTGTGCAACCAACCATAAGCCCCATATTCTAGAATCTAGATGGTTCAGCACTCCTCAGATGAGTTGGTATACAATTCAATGGGTCTTCCTAAACTCCTTGGCAAAACTTGGCAAGGAGTTTCGGAGAGTCACAAATCAATTAAGCGAACGAATTGTCTCCTGCAAACTCCACTCCCCTTTTGCTCCTCTTTTATTTCCTCTGGGAGCAGCCATTCATTGTCTACCTGTGGCCTTACTCCCAAGTCAACCCATTCTTTAGCCGTTTCCTTCGTATGGCAACTCTGCGCATGTGCACACTGGGAACAGGCTCCAGTTGTTCATCTGCCTCACTGATGTCTGACTCTGATAACTGGCATACGGCTCTGACCCCCCTCTGCCTCTGACACAGAACCCTCATCAGAGCCTTCCTCAAACCCCAGGACTGGCCCATGTTCTGCCCCAACCTCCTCACTGTCCAAAATTGCTGCCAGCTCCACTGGCCCCTGGCATACCACAACACCTTGTGAGAGCTAGGAAGTATCCCTTTTCCATGGCAGCCCCTGCACAAGGGAACATTTTTCCCCCTGAAGCTCAGCTGGCCTCTCCCTTCTTAGCCTTCCAAAAAGCACTGAAAACTTGGCTTTTTTCCAAGAACTGGGATAGGAAGAGGCAACTGTATGTTGGAAACATAACGGTGCCAGGTTTTGGAGTTTTTTATGTTTATCTAATATCATCTTAATTCTAGATTAGGAGCCATATATACAGTAGTCCTCCACTTACAATGATTTGTTTAGTGACCATTCGAAGCTGCAACGGCACTGAAAAAAGTGACTTATGACCGTTTTTCACATTAACAACCGTTGCAGCATCCCCATGGCCATGACATCCAAATTCAGATGCTTGGCAACTGACTCATGTTTATGACAGTTGCAGTATCACGGAGTCATCTGAATCCATTTTGGGACTTTGCAAGCAAAGTCAATGGGGGAAGCCAGATTCACTTAACAACCGTGTCACTAATTTAAGAACGGCAGTGGTTCGCTTAGCAACTGTAGCAAGAAAAGTCGTAAAATGGGGCAAAACTCACTTAACAAATTTCTCACTTAGCAACATAAATTCTGGAGTCAATAGTGGTCGTAAGTCGAAGGCCACCTTTATAAGTGTTTTAAATAAATAAATAAAATTAATAATAATATGAGGTTTGATTAGATGTTCTCCGTTTTAGTATCAGGGGAAAAATTGTCTACAGTTTTCAGATTAAAGTATCTTGTATCATCAGAATTAGAATAGTTGCAGTGAGCCCTGCAAACTGCTGCACCTGTGTTAAATCAGTATTTAATGTTCCCATTCCAGTGTTTCCATCAAAGACATACTGATAGCTAACTCCTGCTATCATTCCTTTACCAAGAGACTAATCCAGAACATCTGGAGTACAAAATTGATTTTCCAGAAGATGAAACAAAATAGAACAATCCAAATCTACTGGGAGAAACTAGCAAAGATTGCCAAATCCAGTAAATAGGTAGTCAGGTAAAATTTTAAGAATTATTTTTACTTTTAACATACGAGGTCTTTATTTTCAATTTATTTATGGTAGTATCTAAATTATCATGCTGAAACTACCATGCTGATATTTTAGAAATATTTCAAAGATTTCCTCTATCTGGGTTTTCCCCCCTCCTTTTGAAGTACAGAAATAAAATATTACCGCAAAAAAACAATGCAACTTCTAGTAAGAAAACAGTGGAGGCTCCTAAAAGAATTTTATGTTTCCCATGAGAGTCCTTATTTTCCATGCAAATTACAATGCCAGGCCACTTTGTTCACAAAGGAAAACAATGAATGGATCTAAAAGAGATAATGTTGTTAAAACTGGAAGATTTATGAGTTACTGATTCCCTCATATGTTTTTGGAACATCACTGCCAACTCAGCTAGCGCAGGAGTGCAAAATCTGTCCCCAGAACAAAAACTGCCACATGAAAGAAAAGTGAGTCATCATTAGGACATTTATTACGACTTCTTCTGTTCAAGGTAAAAAAAACTGTCTTTTGTTGGAAATGAACACAATGCACCATTCACAGTCTTGATACCAGATGACTTCAACTGCATTTAAATTGGGGGGGGGGGGAATCTGGCTTGAACTGATTCATCCTGTAAATGCTTATGCTGCTTGATTATTCCTACTTGACTCCTCCTCAAGTGGGCATGGCTAAACAAAACAAGAAATCCCTCTTGGGTGGCTTAGTATTATGTTTGTTTAGCACTGATTAGGTTCTTTCTTCTAACAAGCCAAAGAAATACGTTAGAAAATGTCTGGATTATGTTTATGGATTTTAAGGGAGAGAGAAGATAACAATTCTCAGTTCTCGTGTAGATACACGACATTCTGATTTGTTTACTTGCTTCTACTGGCAGAAGGAATCAAACACCAACAACGTTCTAGATTACTTACATTTAATATTAGATAAATTGTAAATTGGTGCCATATCTTGTCAACACAACCTGCATAATGACATATGAAGTGTAACAGGTCTTTGCCACTGGAGCACTTTTACCTACTGAGTCAAACCAAATTTGTCTCAGCTATTTTATTATTTCTTTCCTGGGTTGAATAGCATTGTACAAATAAAATGATTAATACTGATCTATAACTGTAGACATGGCCAAAGATTCTGCCAAAATGTTGGTAATCACAATGTATAAGCAATGACACATGGCATCATTGTAAAGCAAATAAAGGCTAAGGGTGATAGCTGAACCTAAAGTACATCGATAAAGAAGAGATGTCAGCTAATTCTTAATATATGCTAGGGAGGGGCAGAAAGGCTGCCAGGGATCTATTTCCATTTTGTTGCTGGCATCAATAATGATGAAAAAAAAGGGCAGCTTTGGAGTGCTTTACCTCTAAGTGAAAAAATACCTAGAGAGTCAGAACAGATTACCTAAATAATGTTTTGACAACAAAACCTTAAGCTTGGATTTTCATAACATCTGAAACCAACAGGATGTGATAGATGTAGATAGTTTGATTTGGAAATCCAATCCATGTTAACTTTTCTAGAGCCACATTCAAAATCAGAATCTGCCAGGATCATTTATCACACATCTTTCTTCAACAATAAATAAATAAATAAACCAGATCTACTCATTCAGAGGATCACTTCAAGATCTCAACTATACTTCATATCTACATACTGTAGACCTCACAAATGATGACACTGTTTTGTAACACTTCCCATGTACACCTTTAAAAACAAAATCTTTAAGCATGAATGTACATTGCTACATCTGAGAACAGCATAATGTTATATAAAACCAATGATAAATATTAAAAAAAAATTCTAAAAAAGGAAAAGGAACAGAGTAGTTCTAGATTTCAAGAACAACAATTCAAGTTTGAAGTGTCACTGTGTTCCACTTCAATATCCTATATTGTAAACACACAATTAGTGTTCATAAAATATAAATTAATGTTAAGTTAGATCAGTACCCATTGGAATACATACAATACAGTCTTAGAATGACTAAGATAGTTGAAGAATTAACATTTTCCTCGTTCACAGTGGTACGCAGAAATTGTGATAGTTATATATCAGTGTAAAGCAGAAACAAGAGCAACAGTGGTTCTGAAATTTCAAATAACAAAAGTATAAAGCAAGTTGTCAAATCCCAAAGCTTCCAATTTTGATGCAGCAAGTGCGCTGATTGCATTTAATCTGCTGCTGGCTACAGTAAACATGCACAGATCAACATTGCTTTTTAAATTTCCACAAATGATGGGTATGATGTCAAGAGCTCTCTTTGGAGAGATATATCTCCTTTCCCTTATAACTTAACTTTTCCTGAACTGAGTATCCCCCCAGTGCGTTTGGAATGCAATTACTAGAATTCCCAGCCTTCCCAAAGGTTTCTGGAAATTATGGGAGCTGTAGTTCTGCTATATCAAGAGGACAGCAGATAGGGGAAACTAAAATAGTTTTGCTTTATTACTGAATTCTAGCAAATATCATTGTAGCCATAGCAACCTGAATGCAGCATAGAATGATCCCCAATATTTTTGGTGTAGATTATACTGATAATCTTTGCATAAAGGAGGAAAGACAAAATAAAAACCTTTCACCCACATTCAAGGCAGTCCAGATCTGATGTTAATCTGACAAATAGAGCCTAATATTAAGGATGCAGTATTACTCATTTTAATTTCTTCCTATCCGGTCTCATGTCTGATTAGCAGATGAAACTATGTCAACAAAAAATAGGGCACAGGCATTCATTGTTAAAGTGCAGAACACCAAAACTAGACAAGGATTTCTCAGTTTCAACCTTCTTCTATGGAATACTATGACCTCATTACATTACATTTTCATTTGTTCCCCTAAAAGTGCAAAAAAGGGGGGGAGGGGAATATTGTCCATAAGAAAACCACAAGCCTAAAAGGTTTCAAAATCCTTCCAACATTTTATAATTAAAAATCTAAAATCCTTCATAAAGAGATGTCTCCAGGGTTAAGCAGAGCCAAACTCTGACATCCACTTCTCATACTTCTCCAGATCTGCGGCTGAAACTGATTTGGAGATTTTCTTCAGAGCCAAGTCAAAGTCCCCCTTGGTGACGGGCATCTGAAGCTCTTCTTTAGAGAGGGCCCGGATCTCTTCTGGAGACAAGCCATTAATGCGTCGCCTCATCGCCATCAATGAGGCATCCCTAAAAATAAAATCCATAAACACTACATATTAGTAATGATATATAACAGCAAGGCTGAAATACCATTTTATTTATTTATAACAGGGTGTTATCGTTGTTTTTTGCATTGTCAACAATGATTCCATTACATTTAATTTCCTATATTTAAAAACAACAGCATAAAAATTTGCATTTGTTTACACATTTTCTTTAAAGGATAAATTCCTATATAACCTATCCCCTGAAATTTTCTACTTATCTTACAAAAGAGGTCTGCAAAATTTGGTTAAGTATACAGGCTGAAAGCTAAGCATTCGAATTGACATGTTAGTCCAAGTAGTAGTTAATTTTTAAAAAAACCATATAGATTTCTATGTATCAGTTGTAAATTCCCAACATGAATAGATAAAACACTTATCCTGCCTAGCTGCTTACCTCCACTTCCAATACAGAATCATAATATATGATTCTACATTGGATACGTTCAAGTAGAAACTGGATAGCCACTTCTGTGGCCATAAGTGGGGGACAAAGGGCAGGTGGAGGGTTAGACTCCATGGTCTAAATTAGAATTTATGAGTTGAAGCTGATATATTTTAAAGCTGCTAAACTTAAGAAACATTGATCTAAATAGTCTCTTCCCCTATGATTTCATAATCCTTCACAGACAAGTTTGGAAGTAAAGATGATACAACACTAAAGATGAAAATCCACCAATAATTCTAGCAAATGAGCAGATGTAAAGAAAGCTATAAAGCAATTGTATTTTTATAATATATAGAGGTACTATAGCAATCATTTTGATTATGACCTAAAAGACAGTTTAAATTCATCACTGGACTTATTCTGCATTACACTATGCAATAAGTTCACAATCTGATTGAAAAACCAACACAATACATATATATATAGCTGGATCCAGAATATTAAAAGAAAACTTTTATGCTTCCCTCTGGGCATCATATCTTTCTCAGCAATTGCTTTATATCACAGAGCTGTTGCTAGTACTGTATGTCAAAGAAAAAGGCCAAAAATGATATAAAATGGAGAAGGTCACCTGCCAAAAGAACAAAACAGCCCAAATACCAGCTTTATATATAAACTGATCCATCAGATTACACTCCTTCAAACAGTTTTAGACCTATTAGGCCACTCTAAAATGCTTCTTTTTACTACCACAAACACTGCCACTTGCCAATGGCAACTTTTCTTCTATATAAAATTAAGCTGAACTACAGAACAGTGCTGCTCAACCTTAGCAACTTTCAGATGTGCAGACTTCAACCAAATGCAAGCTGGATGAAGAATTCTGGAAACTGAAGTCCACACATTTTAACATTGCTAAAGTTGAGAAACAGTTCTTATTGACAGAATTAAAGTTCAGCCAGGCAACCTTGCCAGTACTGGAGACTCAGTAAATACTTGCCCCATTCCTCAAATATACACAAGGCAAATTGCAGAGTTGGCACATCAATTATTATGGCTGCTGTGACCTCTGCCTAATCACAAAATGACTGAGGACGATGGACGATGACAAATCCTAAGTCATAAATCATATTTCATCTATCAGAAAGCAAATGGATGGGATTTGCTCTCCATCTTCTCATCCGACATTTTCACCTAGATCCGTGATGGCGAACCAGCATTTCTTGGAACACACGAGGCACTGCCCTGAACCTCCGGAGGGAGAAAAATGGCCCTATGGGCAACCCGGAAGTCTGTTCCCGAACTTCCGGTTTGTGCATTGGGCCGTTTTTTGACCTCCGGAGACTTCAGGAGGCTTCCCTGGGATGGTCACGTGGGCATGCGTGGTGTGTGTGCATATGTGTCACGTGCATGCCTGCACAGGGGGAGAGCACACATGATCCCTCGCGTTCCCCCCACTTTCGGCATGCAATGGCAAAAAGATTAGCCATCACTGACCTAGATGTTCAATATCACTCCATTTAAACTTCTTTTTTCTGTCCATGTGGGAACATTTCCAAATAAGTACAGTTGAACAGCCACCCATTATCTTCTAGCTTACAACAAAGTGTTTGGTTTTTTTCCCCTTCATTCCCTGATTCTTGGAGACTGCAGGTCCCTGCAGTTTTCTTGGCAAGGTTTTTCAGAAGTGTTTTGCCACTGCCTCCTTCCTTAGGGCTGAAAGAAAGTGAATGTTTCCAAGGTCTCCCAGCTGGCTTCATGTCAAAGGCAGGACTAGAACTCCTGGTCTCCTTAACCACTACACCAAAGCAGCTCTCAACAAAACGTTAGGCCTATCTAAATATATTTTTGGAAATCAAAAGTGATAGGTCATTTTATTTTTCCATTAAAAGAATCTGAAGGAAAAGTAGATGGAGCAGGAATTTTTTTTTTCCAGTGATATCTCCTCATCCCATATATTCTAAATGGATGGGTGTTTCAGGTCCTACTATCCAAGGGACCTAGAAAGCTTAACTCTTCCTTGAAGTGCCTGGAAGTATTTTTCCTAAACCTGCTGGCCTTTAAAACAACCTTAAATACATACCTCTTTCCTCAAGGGTTGAGACCAGGCTGAGTGGAGTTTCCACCTGGAGGAATATATGGATTCCCAACTTTTGATTTTAAGTGTAATGTGTGCTTGTTTCCTATATGCTGCCTAGTTCTATTTCTTGTTGATTGGGGGTGGGAGGCACTGTTTTGCAGTGGTTCTCCTCCTACCTCTCGGACAGGTCGCAGTCGGTGTTAGTTGGGGGGCAGAGATCGACCCCTAGGCCCCTAACATACGGGGTGCCTCAGGGTTCGGTCTTATCCCCCCTACTATTTAACATCTACATGAAACCGCTGGGCGAGATCATTCGGAGGCACGGGATAAGATACCATCAATATGCGGACGATACCCAGTTGTATCTGTCCGCCCCGTGCAACTCAATGAAGCGGTGGACGTGATGAACCGGGGTCTTGAAGCCGTTAGGGACTGGATGAGGGCTAACAAGCTTGTACTCAACCCGGAGAAGACCGAGTGGCTGTTGTGTTTCTCTCCCAATAATCCAGCTAGTATTCCATCACTTAGGCTGGGGGGTCAAACTCTATACCCCTCAGACAGGGTTCGCAACTTGGGAGTCCTCCTGGACCCACAGCTGACCTTCGACCATCATCTGACGGCTGTGACCAGGGGGGCATTTGCCCAGGTTCGCCTGGTGCGCCAGTTGCGACCCTACCTGAACTGGGAGGCTCTCACAACAGTCACTCGGGCCCTTGTGACCTCTAGGCTGGAATACTGCAACGTGCTCTACATGGGGCTGCCCTTGAAGAGCATCCGGCGACTTCAGCTAGTCCAGAATGCGGCCGCGTGAGTGATCGTGGGTGCACCTCGGTTCGCCCACATAACACCTATCCTCCGCGAGCTGCGCTGGCTACCTGTTGATCTCCGGGTGCGCTTCAAGGTGCTACTTACCACCCATAAAGCCCTTCATGGTAGTGGATCTGCGTACTTGAGAGACCGCCTCCTGCCAATTACCTCCTTGCGACCTATTAGATCGCATAGATTAGGCCTCCTCCGAGTTCCATCCGCCAGTCAGTGTCGACTGGCAACCACACGGAGGAGAGCCTTTTCAGTAGTAGCTCCGACCCTTTGGAACGATCTCCCCGTGGAGATTCGTACCCTCACCACCGTCCAGACCTTCCGCACAGCCCTCAAGACCTGGCTATCCCGTCAGGCCTGGGGATAAAGATCATAATCTGTCCCCACCCGAATGATGAATGAATGTTGTGTACTATTTTTACTTATGTATTGTTTTATGTTTATTGTTTTGTACCCCCCTCCCTATATTTTGTAAGCCGCCCTGAGTCCCCTCAGGGAAAAGGGCAGCCTATAAATAATAATAAAACTAAAAAAAAAAACTAAAAAACTATATTGCCCAAAATCACAAAAATGGGTTGCCATATAAATCTCATACATAAATAAGTCTACATAGTCTCTAAGAACAGAAACTATAACGGTAAAGTGGAATTCTAAGAACTAAATAGTCCTTAGGTAGTATCTGCAGATATATTAAAGATATATTATTTTTTATTGAATCCAACCAATACGTTGGCGAGTTTTGTGTTTTCTCAAAAATATCTTACAGAGCCCTCAGAAGAGAATTACAGAGAAATATGAATATACTTCACTAACTAACTAATAAGCAAGAATAACACTTGGTAAGCTTGTTGAACTTCCTTTGTGTAGAAAGTGAATATCCTTAAAAAATCCCAAAGATTTTCTGGTTTTCATATAATATAAAAAGTAAGCAAAAAGTGTTCACTCCTGGGCAAAAAGTAAGAGAGCAGGAATTACCAGAAAAGTATGAAAAAATGTATACTCTGTGTTTAGAAATGTTCTTGGGAAAGGTGCATTCTGATTGGTCTAGAGAAGAAAACAGGATACCTGCAGACATTAGTGATATCAGCACCAGAGTAGCCTTCAATCTTCTCAGCAATTTCTTCCATACTAATGTCAGGATCCAGTTCAACTTCCCGGAGATTAATCTTAAGCAGTTCCACTCTACCTTTTGCTGTAAAAATAAATGTCATCTTGATTACAGGAAACTGACAAATAAGTCAGTATTTCTACCACATCTAAAGTTATAATTTGGTTTACTCTGGAGAGAAAAGAGCCTCTTGATTAAAGGAGTTCTGAAAGCAATTTTGTTAATGGCTCTAGAAGTCCCTTCCCTAAATTGGTGCTCTGGAGATACAGGGTTGCTACCGAGGCCACAATGGTTGCATGCTTCAAGAATAGGTCCCAAATCCAAAGTGAGGAGATTGGACGGCAGGTTCTAACTCTCTTAAAACTGTGAGGTATGTTTAACAGCTTTTTTCAGAAAGAAATTACAAGTAGCTTTGTGGATTTACCTAGAGTTCTCTAGCAAAGAGAACAAAGTGGTATTTTTTTTCCTTTTTAAAAATGTATTAAAATTTATTAACAATTATATGCAGAAACAAAAGACATAACTTTATGTCATTAGATTATCTAGGAAGCTAGAAAATAGTTCAGTCTGTGTTGCAAATAATTAATAAATTTAAACCAGATGGAGTAAAAATCATCTTCTATGTTATTACGTGATTTTGTTTGGGGGGGGGGGAATCGGCTCTTCCATCAAAACTATTTTCCAATGTATTTGCCACCAAATGAAATAATTCAAATTTTCCAGTATGTTGCTACTATCTTTCTGGCTACAACCATCAAGAAAACTATCAATTTTTACTGTGTGTTTCAAGGTTGAATTATTAAAAATAAACTTTGAATTTGACATTTGAATTATTTAAAAAAAATTATAAGATAAATTTAGGATTTAATTTAATGGCCTGTGTGGTGATCTATCCTATTTGAGTAAGGTTTTGGACAACTTTAGAAGATCCAACATCCAACATATGATAATATTGCTTTAAACTTTCTCCAAACAAGTGACTTTTAGTAGAATTTATTATGTTAAATTTTCTTGGTGTTAAGTAACATCTATAAAATTCTTTCTTTATGGTTTTCTCAATTTTGGCTGAAAGCAATTTCAATATTTTTCTTTGTCAGTTGGTCCGCCATAAAGTCAAAGATAAACAGGACTTTTATATCTTATTCTCATATGAAAGTTTTTCTTCTCTTCTAATACACTATTGTAACTTTTTGAAAGTTGTTTTTTCCTCTTGTTAGGTGATTAATTTTGCTTAACTTCAACTTCTGCAATTGTTGCTGTATTTGTTTCTGGAACTGCAGTGAAATGTATTTGACATCATGAATGAGCCAAACATTCTAAAAACATTTATAATCCGCTCTCTAATTTTTTACTTGTCCCCATCATATACATCTTTTAAATAATAAAGTCCCTTCCCTTTACCAACACTCTTTATCTTCATCATAAAAGCATGATGAAATATAAAAGGTTGAAGCAGTAAAAAAAAATCCAAGTTTTGAAAATATTTATAACAAATGATTTCTGAGTAAATTCCAATTCTTAATAATAATTTCTGGGAAAAAGAAGTGTCCTAATTTTCACTGATGTTATACATTCCATTTCTAGTCATGATGTTAATTCTTCTGAATTTATCAGCCTAGAAATGTTTGTGATTAGCATCCTAAAAATATTTAATATTTAGAATTCCAAGGTTACCTTCATTGATGTATTTATAGAGAATATTTGAATTCTTGTTTTTTTTACCCAAAACATATGCTTATTAACCATTTTCTGCCATGTTTTTCAGTAATATATGTATACATCAGGGAGGAAGATGTTTAAGAAAGAAGTACAAATTTAAAAAGTAATGACATTTTTACTGCTTTTATTTAACCAAGTATTGTAATTCTAATTTTGACCACTCTTTCAATGGTTTCAAGTTTAACTTGAAGTTCATATTTTTAGGAATGTGTTTCCCCATAACATGTAAAAGAGCATTTGCAGTATTAAATTCCTAAATTTTTGCACGATCATAGGTGCATTTATGCACATACATTCTTATAAAAATGAATAAAGTTGCTAATTTGCAAAAATGGCAAAATATTCTGGAAAATATCTTAAGGGGATTTGAAACAATCAATATAAATCAGTGCAGTAACATACAAATGCATGAATCTATGAATATATAATAATAATTTATCATCTATCAAGATGGATACAGAATTCCTCAGCCTGTCAACAGAAACAAATGTAAATAGGCTAGAGAAATTCACTTCAAAATCCTTTTGTGGAACATGATGGATTTTTGTTCTTTTGTGCTTTATAGCTAGTGAAATTGCAGAGCCAAGACCAGGTGATAAGAGAAGAAATAGCGAGTGGAAAAAAAGGAAACAATTATTTAAGCAGTAGTGTTCAGAGATAATTGTGCTGGCCTTGTCATGGACCCATATAGGTCAAGCTGGGTTTTATTGACATTCAGAAGCAATTCAGGATGACCAATCCCGAACTGACAGGTTCATTAGCCACTTTCTGCCTGCCCTTTGCTGTGTTTACTTCTAACTGCTATGGAGAAGATAGAATTCAGGGATTATATTTTTTATATCCCATTTTAAAGAATACCCAGGTAAATAGCACAAGGGCTACCCATCTCTCTGAATTTGACCAGGACTTTGACATATTTTCTAGGTTGCCCAAATCTTTATTCTTAAGGTTAAAAAAAGGGAACAATGCACTTGTTTTAGCTTCTCACTGTTCCCTACTTGAAACACTCTTAGGGGCGTTTTTTTCCCCCATTAGAACCAAATGAGAACATTTCAATGGAATGTAAGGCTTTTTGTCCAAACTTTGAAACAAACTGCCTTTATTTTCATTAAATGCACACCCCTAGCAAGCAGGAAAAATAACGTATCAAGGTTAAGACAGTCCTCCTTTCCACCAAATCTCATTAAAACCACTGTCACACTGTGTTCTTATTTAGAGTCAAGTGGTAAAAGGCAGGTAGCATGCTACCCTAAATCAAGAAAAGAGACAGCTTAAAAGCAAACCTAAGATGATACAGAATCTTGAAGTTAATAGCAGTTCTGACTGACAACCTGGAGAGTCATTCTGCAATGAGGTTTCCTCAAGCAGGGAACAAATCAGCCAACCGCTCTATGAAGAGCTCAAAATCTAGTCATAAAATTCAGGCTGGAGTTGATTTACAATACGGCAAGCTTAGAAGTTAAAATTAATGGCTTCACTTTTCTGTATTCAGCAATGGGCACATAGGAAAATGCATTGGCAATAATTCTTTAAAGATGTCTACAAGGCTCAATCTGTGCTCGTTTAAGGAATGCCTGTTAAACATTCAAAAAAGTTTACAAGTTCATTAAAAAGCTTGATCTCCCTCATTGAGTCTACATTGAAAGACTGCTACAGCTCTTTCATTCTGCAATCGCCAGCAACTTTTTTTACTTTTTCCCCCAATGATCAAGATAATTATTAAAGCCTGAAAATCCAATGTTGTTGCATAAATTTCAATGTGTTCTTTAACAGCTCCCTGAGGAAGTGTCAAGTAACAAGTGCCAGACAAGCACATTTAAAAAGAAAACCCACCTGTTGGCAAAGGTATATAAATTCTTTTTTCCAGTCTCCTTCTCAAAGCTTCATCAATATCCCAGGGAAAATTTGTAGCAGCAAGCACCATCACCATTCTTGAAGGGTCGTCATTCTCCAGAGCTCCGCCTACACCTAAAGGAGGAATAATAAAGCTAGAGTACATGGTGCTTTTCTATTTAATTCACTTTAATTTGAGGTTTTGCATGCGGTATACTGTAATCTGAATCTTGAAAGCATCTTAGTTTCAGCAATACCACATATTGTATGGGGGGAAATGGATAATAAGAGACCCTGCATGTTTAGAAAGGCCTAATACTGGGAAAGATTGAGGGGGAAGAAGGGGACGACAGAGAATGAGGTGGCTAGATGGAGTCACCGAAGCAGTCGGCGTGAGCTTAAATGGACTCCAGAGGATGGTAGAGGACAGGAATGCCTGCAAGAACGTTGTCCGTGGGGTCACACGACTTCACAACTAACAAGACCTAAATTAAATATAGGTAGTCCTCAGGTTACAAACATTCATTTAGCAAATGTTCAGTTAGAACGGCACTGAAAGAGCGGGACTTATGACAGGACCCTGAAGTTCTGGCCATTGCAGTAACCCTGTGGTTACATGACTGTTATTTGGATGCTTGGCAACCAGCTTGCAATTACGACTGCAGCAGCCCACAGTCACATGATTGCCTTTTTCAGCCTTTCCCTCAACAAAACATTAGGAAAGCCAGCAGGAGCTGGCATGTCACCCCCATTCCTGCTGATTTTACGCCTGCCTGCCCACCCACTCACACTTTGTAGCACTTGCCCGCGGTACCCACTCACCTGCCCACAGTTCTCACCCATAACTCTCACCTACTGATCTGCTTACCTGAGACTCCCTCCTCTTCCCACTTTAGTCAGCCTGGTCCTAGGATTACAATGGCTTTATGATGGCACAGCTTAGCAAGAAATTCCAGTCCCAATTGCCAACATAACCCAAAAACTATCTATTGGTATGTTGAACTTTTTAAAAACTATGCTACAAAAAAGGACAATATTTTCAGCTCCATTCCTTCAGGGAAATCTACAATTCCTGCAGTTCTCAGAATCCCCAAAGGTTCAGTTTTTTAAAAGTGGTCTCTGGATGCACAAGTTGCCTGAACCAAGTGTAGAGAATAAGCATAGTGACTTTTTCTTTAAAGTCCTCCCCTCCTTCACAGTCTATTCTACAACAATGTATAAAACAGGAAAAAGACTTTGCAATGCAGGCAGAACAAACCCTATTTACCATCCATCTGAACCAGCAGCTCCGACTTGACTCGGCGGCTTGCCTCGTGTTCATCCACAGTGCCTCTGCGACTACAGATAGAGTCTATTTCATCAATGAAAATGGTCGTAGGTGCATAAAACTTGGCCTTAAAACAAAGACAAACATTTCTTATGAGACTTAGGGATTCATAAGGTTTTTTTAAAATCATATACAACATCCCTCAGTGTTACAGCCATATTTAACAAAGATAAAAACAATACATTTTCTTAATAAGTATAATCTTTATTGTCACTGTACTTAAATACAACGAAATTGGTTAATGCTAAATCAAGATAGTTGTGAATTTAAGGAATGTCCTATGGATGCATAAAAACAAATAGTAAATAGTATATCAAGCTAAGACATAGATATGCAGGAAACTGGTGATGTTGTCCATTTAAACCATCAGCTCCCAACCAATTCAGTATGGGCATTTATAGTATATTATACTCATTGTAATGTATATTGATTGCCCTGAAATCATTTTACAAAGAAAAGGAGCCAGGAAGAAATTAATGCAAATAAAGAGTTTAATATCTGAGGGAATCAACAATACCTACCATTTCAAACAGCAAACGAACTAATTTTTCAGACTCGCCTCGATATTTTGATGTGAGAGTGGAGGAAGACACATTGAAAAATGTAGTTCCACATTCTGTAGCGACGGCTTTTGCTAGCATGGTTTTACCAGTCCCAGGAGGGCCAACCATAAGCACTCCCTGAAATTAAAATCCAAACAACTGAAGAAACCACAAGCCTGATGCAAGCATATAACAACATCGTGCAATTAAATTCATCTAAACATAATTTAGATTGTGGATCGTCAGATTTAGGCTTTCTCAAACAAGGATGTGGTGACGCTTGACTATCTTATACAAATTCTGTATGTCCTGGATCTCTTGGTGACTTTCAATACCATCAGCCATGGTATCTTTCTGGACTGGCTGCAGTGATTGGAAGAGGCATTTTTGCCGTGGTTTTTCTCCTTCCTATGTAGCCAGTTGGTGTTGGTGGGAAGGGAATGGTCCGGCCCTAAGCCCTTATAATGTTGAGCACCTCTACCCAAAACTTGTGAGTGGAATTTAGAATTTAGAATTTTAGAATTTTATTAACATTTATAGGCCACCCTTTTCCCTGAGGGGACTCAGGGCGGCTCACATAAAATCAGGAGGGGGAATACAAACAATGACATAGACACATATAAGTAAAATAATGAGCAACATTCATTCATCATTCGGGAGG